AGGGTTTTATCCTAAATCAGAGGGCAGGGCCTGGCCAGACGCTCGCAGCCCTTAATGCTAATAAGCACAGCAGAAGCACAGACCACTGAGCATTTGGGAATCAGGTTCCCAGGATAAGAGGAGCGGCGAATTCTTTAAACATTCTGAAAGGAGCAGGCCATGGGTTTGGGGGACAGCTTTAGAAAGTGTAAAAAGGAAATGGGTCCCTTGGAGTACTTCTGCAAACCTGAAAATCTCAGGTGTTAGAGGGCGGTGGGCATCTGAGTTAAGCGCCAAAGTTCAAGGACATCTCAGGCTGGACCTGAGAGAGGACCATTCGCTGGTCTAGGCAGCGTGGATGTTTCTTGGTCAGTTATGTATCTGCGGCAACTCATAAAACGGAAATCAAAACTTAAGATTCAACCTGGCTTGTTGACAGCCTCTTCAGACTGCCCAAGTGAAGGCTGCTTCCCGAATAAGCCCTGAATTCCTGGACTTACTAAGCTACTTTTTCCAATTACCTAGGCAGCCCACCTTGAGAGAGGTGGAAACAGTTGAACTTTTGATGTTTGCTTAATTTACATAAATATTTATCATAAATTTATTTAATAAAAATGGTAAAATATTTAACTGAAGAAAGCAACAGAATTCAAATTATTTTAAGTGTAAATATACACATAGAAGGGAGTCTAGAAAGAAACACCCCAAAATCCTAAAAATTTGTGATCATTAAAACCTAACATATCATTTTGAAATGTACTTCTTCAAACATATTTTTTGGAGAAGTGTCTTTAATTTTGATTCTAAGTTTGTTTTCAAAAAGGAAAAAAAAAAATACCCGACTTTGATCAAGTATCTGGTCTCCAAATGTGAAGTCTGCTCACCACTGAAAATAAACTCCGGGATGGTCTGATTTAGCTGAGAGGGAGATGTTCCGGTGGTGATCGACCTCAGTGTCCTTTGGTTTCTAAGGTGTCTGAACAGTGTATTTCGTTTTTAGCTGGAGATCCTAGGACTGAACTGATGATACATGAAAACTGTGAAAGTCCCAAAAGGCAGAAAAGAGGTTTCCGAGGGAAGGACTAGGTCCCAGGAGGAGCAGCCTGAGCAGCGGCTGAACAGGATGTGAAGAGATGCTAAGAGCCCAGAGCAGGACCTCAGGATGGAGAAGCTACGTCAGCCTCCTGCCTGTCTCAAAAGGCAAAGACATAGAAACCTGGAAAGGCCCATTTTCTCCTTTGTTTTCTCATCCCTGGATTCCAGCATAACAGAAAGCTAGAAAGCAGATGAATAGAGAACAGGTAGGTCTGAGGACAATGAGACTGTTATGGTAATGACAACTTGTGAAAATACAAAATAATTAGAAGCGCAAACCCCGCTCCTCTGTGACAGCATGCCAATCAAGGCTGTCAGGGAAGCCATGCCCCTTTCCACAACTCCCTGAGTTTCCTCCCTCGCCCCTCCCACTGCTCCCCCTTTATTCAAAGTGAATTTTCTCAGTTTAACAAATTCTCCCTTCAAAGCAGTGACTTTGTCCCTCCTCTCTATTGTAGCCTGGACCACTTTCAAGGAATTAAAGTTTTTTGGGTAACCTTAATCGGTATAGTCAGCTAAAATAGAATTCAACCTCTAAATCGGCATTTAGGGGCTTAGCTATGCGTCATCATATTTTTTTTGCTGGCGTTTCTGCTGTTTTAACTTAACATCAAATGTCAACAGCCAAGACAATTCAATGGGAAGTTCTTGGTCTCTGAAAATAAGTGTAGGATGGGAAAGGGAGAATGAAGCCATTAAAAAGAAAATTACCCCCATTGTTGAAAAAACTTAAATTAATCACATAACTGAACTTGTGTCTCTGGATTTAGTTTGGTCACCTACTGCCAGGGGATGAAGAGATCTCTCCAGAGAAAGAGTTCTTTTTCTCATCTTTACACGTGAAATCACCTCAATTGAATAATTTTCATTTCCAACTCTCCAGTAGCTAAATGGGTGGCCTGGGCACACTGAAAACAGATCGGTTACAACTTTTTAAGACCCTGCTGCTTTAGGGCCTTAGTCACATTTGATTGGAATCTGATCAGGCCCTGATCTGACAAAGCTACCACCCTGTGCCTGAACTGACAGTGGCCAGGGGTCACAATTCTGTTGCCATCTTTTTTGAATGACTTTATGTCTTTTCCAATGATCAGCTCTTTTGCTTTTTCTCTTCTCTCCTTTACTCAGACACTGCTATATTTAGGGAGTTGTTTAGAAGAAATACGAAAGGATTCAGTTTACTATGTATATAAACATGTTTATCAACTGTTTGGTTTTGTTCATATCTGATTAAAAGACAACAGAAAAGGCCACACAGCTCCTAAAAACAAACAACAACAAAATAAAACAGAACTTCTTGGCAGAATGGTTGGATTTTAGAGCTTTGTGAAGAAACTCCCTTCAGTGTTTGAACAGATATGGAAAAAGAGAAGGGGGTCTGGGAAGAATGCCTTCCTCGCCAGCCTGCAATAGGCAACTTCTACCGTTTGGGTAGAAAAAGTTCCAGGGACATGTGGCATCTCAGCAAATGCAAGACACCATCGCATGGTCTTACATTCCCCTAGGAAAGGATGCGTTTTCCAGAGGCTTAGGAGGGACAAAATAAATCACAGGCTTTCACTGGGAAATTAGAAAGAGAATGAAGGATCTTAAAAGCTAAATATCAGGAGACCCAGAAAACTCTTTTAAGTTCAGGCAACTAGTGGAAAGATAGAGGAGTAGTTAGAAAACGTTTTGCTTCATAACTGTGTAGCCCTGACATCCCAAACAACAAAGTATGAGGTAGGCTAAAACCTCTGTTCTTGGTTTTAATTAAACTTCTTGATAAAAGTTGAAGGAAGTGGAAAGGAGAGTTGAATGGGAGAGAAAACAGAGAAGAGTTGGGCAGTAATGGATAATATTTAGAGATTAGTGAGCAAAACACCTGTGTTTGTACGTACTTGACTTGAAAGAATTTCTATAATATACTATATGATCTTCTTTTGGTAAATAAATAATGAACCCCCCATCTCAGAAGTACATGCACTTTTTTGACGATTTATATAAGCACTGAGAAAATTACTAAAGGATAAACACCAGGTATAAATACTTGATATTGGGCTGACGTGCAATAAAACTATAATAATTACAATAATCGAATGTGAGAAGCATGACCACAGTAAAGACCATCGATGACCCAATCCTGCTCGTGTGCGCATGTGTGTAGAGACACAGAAAGACGTTTCTTTATATGAGCACAAGGAGATGCATGAAAGAATCAGCGTGGTTGGTAACCTCCCCACCTCCTTCCGCTGCGTGAAGCTTGCCAGGAGAGCCCGCCTCCCACTGTAATAGAGGCGGAAAGTGTCGGGTTTGTTTTCAGTCTCTCTGACATTGAGGACGTGGAAATGTAATCCAGTTTTGGCCAGTGGGGCCTCAGCAGAAGTCTGGGGAGGCTTTGGGGGACGGCTTCCTTCCCTAATAGAAGGGAATACATGAGGAGAAGCTCTCTTCCTTTGGCTGGTGGGGAGTGACATATGGGGCAAGGATCTGTACTTACCATCCTGGTACCGTGAAGTAAGCCGGGCGGAAAGCCCACACGCTGAGGACGGCCGAGCAAAGATGGAGACGTAGAGCTGCTGCACTCGCCAGCTCTGAAGCCCCTCGTATCTGGGCGTCCTATTAAGGGAGATGTTAATGTTCTCCTTGTCCCTTTGCTGATGGGAGATTGTTTCTTCCAATTGAAAGCACCCTAGCTAGCTGAGAGAGCCACCACCGTGCTCAAGGGGCTTATCTCCCAGCAGAGGGGTGTTGGGCTGGAAATCTCTCCCATCTATCTATTTGCCCACATACAACTTGCTTTATATTAGTGGTTTTCAATTCTGGCCTCATATTAGAATCACCTGGGGAGCTTTTCAAAACTACCAATGCCTGGGCCACATCCCAGAACAATTAAATCAATTAAATCAGCATCTCTGGGTTGGGCCCAGGCACTGGTATATTCCAAGTGTGCTCCACAAGAGTCTGATGTTCAGCCAGAATCGGAAATCCCTGCTCTGTGTTGTCTTTCTT